ACACACACACACACACACACACACACACACACTCTCTCACACACACACACACACACACACACACACACACACACACACACACACACACACACACACACACACACACACACACACACACACACACATCACCCCTCCTCTTTCTCTCTCTCTCTGCCCCCTCCCTCTCCCATCACTGAATTCAATTGAATTCTGCTTTATGAACATGACAGGGCAGAAGCAAGCGTGTTCCTGAAATGTCGACATAGTATTTACAAACATTATACTGTAATATTCTAAAATTATTAGTTTGTTTTCAGATTAAACTGGTCCAATGTAATGAAATCTATATAGATAATGACATTTTATCATCATCTGTGGTGAGGTAGCTCTAGATTACATATTTGTTGGACTTCACAGGTCCAGATTTAATCCAGTTTATTGATATCAGCTCTACAATTGTTTTCTTTTGTTCACTCTCTACCATGTACTGATCCCGGGTCAGTGTGACCTGGTAATAACAGAAAGCCACACAGAAATATACATGTGCTCAACCAGCCACATTTATAAGCTGTGAACTTCCAGATAGCATGCTAGCAAGCTCAGTCGCTAACTCAATTAATGAAAAAATAATCAGTGTCCAAAATCAAATCAAATCAAGTTTTATTTATATAGTACATTTTTAAAACGATTTTTGGTCGAGCCAAAGTGCTGTATATGCAATAAAAACACTTTACTACAATGGCAAACAGAAGACAACAAATTACAACAGCAAAAATAAAAAAATCACACACAGGGAAATGTCAGGAGTCGTCAAAAAAATCACCCCTAATGATCTACTTGCGCTGTAATGTAAATGTTCTTTCAGATATTTCTTATTGTAATCTCAATGCATTCTCTCTACACAGTGTCGTACACACAATGATGTTAATGTCAAAAGGGGATTTTTCCAAAAGTATCAACGCTTTTCTTCTCATAACCAACGTTTGCACCAAAGCCAAAGACGGCTAACGTTAGACCGAGACACGTGTGTTTCATAAGAGCGCAGGGTTATTTAGACAGGAACAGTTTAACCCGTTTTTTCATATGTTGGGCATCCATGGTTTTCTGTTAGTTGCTAGTTGGCTCTATTTGTTTTTACAACTTATAAAAAAGTATAAATGTGCTATGTATTGGCACAATAGTAGAGGTGAAATGCTGCCCCCTGTCCAAGGAGCAGGTGCTTCTTGCTGCACGACGCGCCTTCAAACCCACGTCAACATGTTTGAGCAGGGCTGTGCTTCATGCTAACAGAGAAAAGGGAGGAGACTCTCATTCATTCATTTGCTCCATAAGGACAAGTGACATCACTGACAATATGCTGCACGACTGTAATATGACCCTCTTCCTCTGTGTGTGTGTGTGTGTGTGTGTGTGTGTGTGTGTGTGTGTGTGTGTGTGTGTGTGTGTGTGTGTGTGTGTGTGT